ACCCTGCCCTGCAATCAATAAATAACAAATCACAAACGGCACAGTGGACTCCGACTTCCGGCGAACCCCCATTTACACGAACGCTCGCTCATTTTTACTCGGCACGATTTTGCCTTACAAACCTCGTTTCAACAGTCCTTTTCGATTTCGAAGGCTTTCTATGTTCAGCCTTCTAGGGGGGCAGCTCTGTAGCGCCCAAAAAGATAACTCTTACCTTTCATGTACAATTTATGTGTTGACCGATTGTACATTATTCTTTCTTGTTTTAATCGTCCTTACAACCGGCTCGACACTCGACAGCCTTGTAAGTTCCCGCGCTCACGTGTTCGCTCTCGTCTCGCTTCATCCGTCCGCTTCTTATTGTAGCCCATCGAATATAATCCGCTGTGTCCGACTCCGATTGCCTTCTGATATCCGCGCTTAATTTCGTGCACCGTCTCGGACTAGTATTAACTAGTCCTACACCATTCACCGGCACGTGCAAATTTACCATTCCCTTTGGTTTCTGACACCAAGTTGACATACACCAATCTATTCAATGGTTTCCCAGTGTCACAGTCCATTCACTTACCTTACCCATTGATTTTGTCGTCATCTTCACATCCGGTAAGTGAATAGTCTCCAGTAATGTAGCTTTTGTTAGCCAGCGGAGATGCGTCGCCCCATCCATGATTTGCCAGTAACACCCTGCATATACCAATGGAGATCCGTGGTTGGTGTTGTCCTTTTCACATTGGTTACTGCGCAGATTCACATCAAGTGTCTGTATGCACAGTGCAATGCTGTCTCGGAGTACGTGCTGCCCTTCTTTTCACGGGGCACAAACCATTTCCCAGTATTCACTATTTGTGGGTTACGAGCGATTTACATGCTTACCCGCAAAGTCGGGAATATTTGTGAATGGTTCTAACGTCATAACCCATTAATGCATCATGCTCCTATACTACGATTACCCAATTCCGTCAAACGTTGTAATGATGTAATCCTTCGACATGTTTTTGTGATACCTCTATACTTGACTCACATGAGTGACTACTATCATCTCGCATGCACCATTGCAGTAGTCCTGCCTCACCTCCGGCACGCACCATTACGCAGTCTACGACTATTGATGTGAAGTACATCTTCCACTTGTTCGAAAATCAGCGGATAGTAGCAATGAGCTGTGGCAGAAACGGACACCACCTCATTTCGGAAAGCAACTTCAAGTGAGATTGTCTGACCACAATGTTCGCACTTGTGGTCTTGATCTCTTCTATGTTGAACTCGTCCATATGCACCCAAGTCACAAGTTGCGAGGTGGCACGGCCATGATACGTGATCATGTGTTTCTGACCAAACCCACCGGCTCATTTATTTTCAGATAACCATCTCATGGATATAAATGTTGTGAAACATCCACCCTGACTACCTGGGTGTGTACAACATCGGTACTTCTTGAATCCGCAAGTCATCCTTGCGTTAAATCTATGCATATTGCTTTCACGTGTATTTGTGGCTTAAGTTACAATAAACCATTCCTCAGCGCTTGCGCGCTGTGGGTCAAGAGCGCAGAAAAAGCTCCCCATGATGACGTGAATATTTGGAATTGGTGCAGACGTCCGTGTTGTATTTGATGTTATATTTCAGTGATTATGCAGTGAAGGGATGTAAAACATTTGCATGCAATGACCCAAAAAAGTGAAATTCCACGTGACCCGCGTATACCTTGTAGCAATGAGATTACTAAAACCCATGCCATGGTTGGTGGCATCCGCCTTCGGATTTGCCTGTCACTGTGGCCAGCCACAGAACGCCTACGCCTACAGAGGGACCATGGGTGGCTTGCGCTGCACCACCCACAGCTACAACCACACACCCCATATCCAGTGTAAACCCGAAGGAATAAGACCGGGAGGCATGTGAATGGGAGCCACGTTTCATCAACGGAGCCGGCCCACACTCCTTCACAGGCAAACCCAAGCACGCTGTATTTGGGGAATCAAGCACCACAAGGCAGTGACTGGACCGTAGTCCGCTCCACACTGAGTGCATGGAACCGCTCTTTGAGCCTAGCACGACCACAAGGACCGTGAACCCCGTCCCCTCCAGCAACGACCAACTGTCTCCTGGAGCCAGTATGAACGAGGTAGTGGGTAATAGACAGGTAGGCACCTTGTCAACATGCATATCAAGCGCAGCCACACCGGGGATATCAAGCAACAGCCAATCACTTGAAACGATAAAATGAAATAAAATACATCCAATAATGCATACAGATCCGGTGGCATAACTCTTCCCTAAATTAGCATATGAAGTAAGTTGGTTAGCAATGAATCCGCGATAAGGAAAATATGTCCACAAGTTACTCAAAAATGCTACAAACGCAACAAAAGTACCGAAGATAAGCGCAATTAGAGTAAACAACGTGGCCAGCCAATAGAAAACTATTTAGATAGGCAAAACAAACCAAATAAACTGGAATGAAATTTATGCAGCTTAAAGAGACCTAGTTTAAGTGTAAGTTGGTTTAGCCCAACTGCGGTGAAGAAGCATCAAGAATGCAACATCAGCCTCAGCATGGGGCACTATATATATATATATATATATATATATATATATATATATATATATATATATATATATATATATATATATATATATATATATATATATATATATATATATATATATATATATATATATATATATATATATAAACCTTCGCCACCCTTCGGTATCAACGGCGGTGTAAGACAAGGTTGCGCGCTGTCACCTTTCCTATTTAACTTCGCAGTTGACAAAGTCATAGAAACAGCATTTGCTCGACACGACCTAGGTGTGGAGCTACTTCCTCCTTAGCGAGTTTTTGACTTGGAGTACGCGGACGATATTGCCCTAATTTGTGACAGCTCCCAAACATACCAAGCAGCACTGGACCGATTAGCACTGGCTGTCTATCGTTTTAAGCTATGCATTGCTCCATCGGAATGCAAAGCACTTCTCCAAGATTGGCAGAGACCCATTCCTTCACTGACCCTTAATGGTGTTCAGCTAAAAGTCGTTCAGGAATTCAGGTACCTGGCAGCTATATTAGCGCCCGTGGGATCGAAGATGAGGTTACGAACCGTATGGCAAAAGTTCGAGGTGCCTTCGCCATCTCCGCCAGCTGTGTCGCAGACGTTACATGCTTCTTAAAGCACCACTTTAGCCTACGTCAGTGGCTTCTCTCGTTGCGATAATGATGTTTGCTACGACATCTATGTGCCCTTAATCAATACACTAGTAGAAGACGAACCGTGCCTATAGTAGGTACCTTGCCATAGGCGCTTTTGATGCAGCTGTTGTGGCACATACCTAGGCTTAATCAAAGGCACGTGAAGTCAACAGATGCTACATCCATAGTAGGGATATTGATGCAAGTGCCAAGGGACTTATATGGGCACAATAAACAACGTTCATGTAAGCGTGTGAAGCCCAAAGTATATGTTACGTTAGCGGCGGTCCTGATGACAGCGC